GATGGATGGATGGATGGATGGATGGATGGATGGATGGATGGATGGATAATGGATGGATAAGTAGATAAATGGATGGATGGTTGGATTTTTTGCTCGGAGACATATAATGATCCTTCACCTTTTGCTGTCATATAATAAAAATAAATAAATAGAATAAAATGGAGAAAAAAAGCCACAAAATAAATGTAAATAACAAAATTCACGATCTAGCTGCATTAACATTTCAAATATTTTATGTCATAATGTATTAGGACGTTCTTTTTTTTTTTTTAACAAAGTTTATATTTTATATCTTAAATACATTAATAATTTCTAGTCGTGTTTTATGTTGAAACAATTCCTCTTCCTACACGTCATTTCCGGTATTTAAACATGGCGGATGACAACATCGGTGCGGATGATGGAACTGTGTTTGGATGTTTTTGTTTCTCTCTTTGTGCTGTAATACCCGGAGCACTTTGGACGAGGCTATAAAAGTAAATATGTCTTTTTTAAATTATTTATTTTTTAATAAAAATAATTATTAAAATGCGCGGAGCTGTTTGTGTAAAGAACGGATCAAAACCCAGAACAGGATCTTATTTATGTTGAATATTCGCAGCGATGGTAAAATACAGAAAGTGTTTTTCCCTGAGCAGCGACGTTTGTCTTGCAGCTTTTATTTAAAACGTTTAATATGAATGAACATTTTAACAAGTAACCTGTTTAAATTATTATAATATTTAGAGTATGTTGTTAATGTCACAGTGAACATGGAAACTAAGTCTATTTAAACTTTGTGTGTATATTTTATTTAATTAAACTTTGTGTATATTTTTTATTTAATTAAACTTTGTGTGTATATTTTATTTAATTAAACTTTGTGTGTATATATTTTATTTAATTAAACTTTGTGTGTATATATTTTATTTAATTAAACTTTGTGTATATATTTTATTTAATTAAACTTTGTGTATATTTTTTATTTAATTATACTTTGTGTATATATTTTATTTAATTAAACTTTGTGTATATATTTTATTTAATTAAACTTTGTGT